GTGGCTGGTGGGTTTGAACCGCCAGCCTTCTGGTTAGCAGTCAAGTGGCTTAGGCACTATGCTACTAGAGCTCCTCCTGTGTACAATAGACCGAACCTCTGCCTGGTCCTGGGCCATCCCCATAATCCTTGTTGTGCTTGAGCCCATCGCTGCAGCCACTGTGTCAATCCATCTCGTTGAGGGCCTTCCCCTTTTTCATTGACTCTCCCACTTTACCAAGCATGATATCCTTCTCCAAGGACTGGTCCCTTCTGACAACATGACCAAAGTAGGTGAAATGAAGTCTGGCCATTCACACTCCCAAGGAACATTCTGGCTGCACTTCTTCAGGACAGATGTGTTCATTCTTCTGAAAGTCCATAGTATTTTCAGTGGCCCTTGGAGACCTAGGGACCTCATCCTACTAGAAGAGAAAGCAACCAACGCTATGTGGGGGACGCCACCTTGGATGAAGGATGGGCACATAAACACCTACATCCAGAAGGGGCCAAATGCAAATATTTGTGCTCCAATTTGGGCCTTTTCTTGGAAAAAATGGAGGCAAATGAGGTCTTTCCATAGAGAACAACTTTAAATCCCCTCCTAGTCCCCCTCACCCCGCAGCCTTTAACACATTTTAAGTAACAGTGATACCAAACTGGAAAATCAAACGCACTGCCATTGAGTCAATTCCGACTCATCGCGACCCCCATTGGGTTTCCAAGGCTGTAAATCATTATGGAAGTAGGTTGCCTCATCTTTCTCCCATGGAGCAACTGGTGGGTTTGAACTACTGACCTTCTGTTTAGTCCAGTGCCCACATGCATGAGTTGGTGGCAGGTCTCTCATCACCACCGCATAGTGCGCCTCATTCTGTATGTATTTAAATTATTTTCTATCACATTCCACATAAAACAACACAGAGTGTTATAAAACAAATAGAGGCATCTGCATCGCTAATTTCTGCAGGATCTTTGGCAGGTTCTTTCAGGTTTCCCACAATGGTAATGACTATTCTTTGATGTCAGAGTAATTAGGATAGGAATTATATGTAGCCCCACATTCCTTCTTCTGTACCTCCTTTCTCTGCTCTTGCTTAATATTTCTTATTGTGCAGAGGGTGACTCAGGCCATGCTGAAGACGTTTATCAATGTGTCACCAAGAATTCCCAGCAAGAGGGTTGGGGACTAGAGCTTTATTTGGGGCACAGGTGGCAAATGGCTGGGAAAAGAGGCGACTTCCAGGATTAGCTCTTCTTCCCACTCAGATAGTCAGTAAAGAAACCAGTGTAGAAGCACTAACCCCTTTTCAAGACACCAGATTCAGCTATCAGCAGCCTTGCCTGGTCTGCATTCCTGGGGGCCACAGGAACAGGTGAGCAGGCAGGAGAAGGAACCGGGAAAGTGGAATGGATACTTCTCCAGGGAAGTGGATGAATGTTCTCTGGATGAAGTCAGTGACCTACTACAGGGGTTAAGAGCTGAGGGTCCAAATGCCACCTTGGACTTGTTTTGCTTGGCTACTATAGGTGTTCTGAAACTCTGAATAGGAATGCTGTTTCCCAAAGGCTATGTACATTTCCATTCACCACAGTCCACACTACTCCCTATTGCCTCACACCCAGCCTATTTCACTCATTTCCATGATCTATCAGGCTTCTGAAGGCATCTGAGTTTGAGATTCCTGCCCTAGGGCTACAAAATGACTCTTTGGAGCAACCGAAATGAGTTGATGGGGTTGGAGGAGGCTGTATTCTGCATCAAACAATGTCTTCTGCATTCATGCAGAAAATAACTCACGGGAGAGATTTACCCTACGTTGACCAAGAGGAAGAAAACAAGGCTCTTCTTACTTTTCTCACAGAATGGGGGGTCGCTGCTCCAGCTGAGGTCCCACTGGCAGGTGAGTGTGTCGCTGCCCACGATGTCATAGCCGGGGTCACACTGGTAGGTGATTCTGGCTCCTCTCACAAGCTCCGTGTGAGAAGTGGTTTTCCAGCCATTCTGGATCTCAGGCAAATCCGAGCAGGAGTCGTTTCTGGACACCTCTTTAAAACAAAAACACCATTCTGACTTGGGGAGTTGACCTTTTATATTGTATTTTCCTTAATGAATGTCAGGGGAACAGGCAAATAGAAGGCGCTGTCTCCAGAAACAAGTAAATGCCCTTCCCACGTCCCTTAAACTATAAGAACTCTTCTGTAGTGAGATTATATTGTTACCACGGGCCACTAACCTTACCGAACGTTCTCCTGGTTTGGTAAAACTGGTTCAAGCTTTAGAGTCAGATGGAGCCCTACCTCTGCCACTTCCTAGCAATGACCTTGGGTAAATCTTTCTCCTCTGTGTCTGAGTTTTTTCACCTTTCATGAGGACATAGTCATATCTTGACTGTGTTAGCCAGCTTCCAATGGTCTCCAATGATTCTCACCTCTAGAAATTCACACTGTTATATAGTCCCCTCCCACATGAAATTGAATGATCTCTGTCATCAGTAGGCTAGTATAGAAGTGAAGGTGGGTGACTTCCAAGGTGAGGTCATAAAAGGCATCGTGGCTTCCACCTTCTTCTTTTTGGATCACTCGTTCAGGAGGAATTGGACACCATATTGTGAGGACACTCAAGCAACCTCTTGGAGAAACCCAAGTGGAGAGGAGCTGAGGCCTCCAGCCAACAGCCACGTGAGTAAGCCTTGGTTGGAAGTGGATCCTGCAGCCCAGGCAAGCCTTCAGATAAGACTGCAGCTCTGACTGGCGTCTTAACTGCAGTCTCATGGAAGGGCTCAAGTTAGAACCATCCAGCTAATGGTGCTCCCGAATCCCTGACCCACAAAAGCTGTGAGATAATAAATTATTGCTAATTTGGGGGTATTTTGTTATACAGCAGTAAGTAACTAATACAGTCAACTTTATCCTAAGAACCTCTGTACATCTATGAACTTGGTGATTAAAAGTATCTATTTAGTGTATTTAGTCTATTTACACTAAAATAAACTATGAAAATTGTTGGTGCATTCTTTAGATCCCATTGCATATCCTCAGTGAATATTAGCCATGCTCCCTATTCCAGAAAATCCTGCATCCATGTTATCATCACACACACAGCTTATTGTCACAGACTCCGCCTCTGGAGAAATTCTCTTTTCCTCCTACAAACCCTCGTTACTAAGGTAGCAATCCCAAAGCCCACTATTCCTATTCTTGCTTCAAAGTGCCCACTGCACAGATTTTGAGAAGAGAGCTAATTATGTCTCGTAATTAATTTGCAGCTCTTATGTGCTCCTGGGGAGAGCAAAGCACCCCCATTGTCTGCAGGAAAGTCATTCCGAGAAATAAGTAATGGCTTCTTTCCAGGATTTCTTCACGCTTTTATTTTGGGGAAGGAGATCTCATGGGTGTCTGCGAGGAGATGGGGAGAGGGAAATGGCATCTGGAATTGCTTGGTGGGGAACAGGAGCCTCTACTTTTAGACTTTTGCAAAAAAGCCAAGCCTTGGATTTGGGTCACTGTTGCCAATGTTCAGACTATGGACACAGGAAGAGGCATGGGGCACATACTAGCTACTTGGCTTGGCTTGTGCCAAACACTGTGATGCTGAGAGAGGTTTACTTGTCTGGCTGTTGGGTATGAAAATGGATACGTATCATGGACACACACTCCCACTGGGCTTCCTATCTCTTTTGCAACATTCATCACATCAGTAATTACTGCTGCCAAACATGTAGCCAGAGCTTTGGTGCAAATCTTGGCCCCACTGCTTACTAATTGGGTGGCTGTGGCTACATCTCGTAACCTTCCTGTTCTTTTGTCCCTAGATCCCACCTCCAGAGACCGTGTTTCAGGAATCTGCATGTATGTCAAGCACCTGGGGTGGTCCTGGCATTATCTATTCCCTCCCCCAGCGGTCCTTGTTAGCTCTGCCAAGAATTAGCAAACTATCCCAGGAATCAGAAGACTTCAGTTCTCATCCTGTTTCTTTAAGAAGCTGGTGTGACTCCAGTCACGTCAATTAACTTCTCTGAGCCTCTGTGTCCTTATCTGTAGAGTGGGGCCAGTAATCAGTCCCTGGGTGGTACAAATGGTTAATGGGTTCAGCTGTTAATTGAAATGTTGGAGGCTTGAGTCCATCTGGCAGTGCCTCAGAAGAAAGATCTGGCAATGTACTTCCAAAAAATCAGCCATTAAAAACCCCGTGGAGCACAGTTATATTTTGACACACATGCGTCGCTATGAGTTGAAGTTGACTTGATGGTAACTGGTCTGTCCCAAAAGGCAATGTAAAAGTTAATTAACATACTGGATATGACACTATTGTGTGAACACTAAGTTCACCGATTAAGATTCATTCCTTTGTTTGACCAAGATTTGGTGAGCACCTATTATGTGACAGGCACCAGAAATAGAGGGATCTGAAATCATGGTTCCAGCCTCATGGTCAAGATTAGCACCATGTCTCAGCTTCTGGCTGGAAGAAATACCCAAATGCACTGAAAGCCTGTCTGTATTCACAGTCTTATGCTCGTGACAGACATCACTAATCGATCATAGCACTCATGTCTAATCAAGCTGCACAGAGTATTCCTCTGGAAGGCTGTGACAGCAGCCATAGGAGATAAGCCTTGGCCTTGGCCTTGACCTAGAAGTTTCAGAATTCTCTAGAAGACCACAGAATCTTCCCCCACCACTTAGTAATCAGAATGCCCTGCATTCTGATACCCCCACTGAATGGTAGGCACATCTGTATCTGGTGAACTCTAGACCCAGAGCAGCAAATACCTATCCTGTGACCAAACTCTGTGTTTCTTTGAAAGAGGTAAGGACAGCCATAAATGTTTTCTCTCTGTCTTTTGTTTGCTTGTTACTCACAGTAGGCAGGCTGTGTATCCCTGGGAAGTGTTCTCTGAACTCCTGTCTTGCCTCTCCCACAGCACCAGCACATGACCTTGACATTCATTGCCTATCTATAGGATTCCACCTCCCTTTTGTAGTAATCAGCTCTAGGGCAGGGACAACCTTCTATTCATCCCTACAGCCCAGTGCCTAGCACAGCGTCTAGCGTCAAGCACACAGGAGGTGTTAAGAATTTCTGTGAACCAAACTCTCTAGAAAATGGAGATAATACTTTTGAAGATGAAATAAAATAACATATATAAAAGTGCTTGCCGGCTATAAATTTCTATACAAATATTAGCTTCAAGTTCGATGAACAAGAATGTATCCTTCTCAAGACATAACCAAACTAAGCATTGGCCAGACTTTCTGGTTAACCTTGGTCAGCCTTGGAGAGTCAGATTGTTGCCATCAAGCTAAATGCAGTTTTGGAAGAATGAAGACATCAGAGAAGACAAATGAGTAAGGCTATGACCTCATTCTTCAGTGTCGAGGGAGTGGGAGTCAAGGGAGATAAAGTGAAGCCAAGTCATGAGAACATCTCTCTGCAAAAGTGGCTGCCTCTGGAGGGCCCTTGACTGAGCAGCCAAGGGGGGCTCCCATACAATGCCCCAGGGCACTGCCCACTGAAGAGCACGGAATCCACCGAAAGCAGCAGCAACAAAAGTCTGAAAATATTCGGTAGCACAACCGAGGAGTAAAAGGGCCCCTGACAAACATGAAGAAAAGAGAGGATCAATATTTGTGTTAGCCTCTCTGAGCGGGGGCACACAGCAGGCAAGCGTGAAAAATGTTCATCGACTGGAAATAAAGAAGGCAAGGAACTCATTTTAGTATGCACAAAGCTCCTCGGCATGGCCAATGATCGGGGGAGTGGCTTGTGTTTCTGATGTAGAGGGTGGTACCTAGAGAACAATGACATTAGATGGAGATGGGCAATGGTTCCAGTCAAGGAGAAGAAAGAATCAAAGATGTGGGGTCTTGCCTGAGTCCGAGGGTATCTGGTGGTTGGTGGTGGTGGAGTGGAAGACTTGCCTGAATAAATCCTCCTTTTCTCACATCATCCTGGAGTTCAAGATGCCAACCTAGTTCCTGAATAGTATAAACATGCCCCGTAATTGCTGGCTGAAACTTGCTCATTGAGATCCTCAGGGTGTACCATCCACCAGTCTGGGCATCTGAAGAAGGTAGGTCTTCAACACACAAGCCACCAGAGTGCAACAAGTTGACAGACGGGTGGTGGCAATGGAATATAGGTATTATTTTAAGGTATGGGGTTGGAAGAGGGCAGGGTCTGGGATGGAGCTCAGGACCCTGCAGAGTTTAGAGGTTAAGCAGAGGAGGATGGTGGAACCAGTAATACATGACAGGGTGCCAGAGTGTGCAGAGTGAAGAAGGAAGGGTTGGTGGATGAAAGCAACAGGGAGGGGCCATTGGGTGGTCAAGTGTGAACTTAGTTTGGACTTCAAAGGAGATGGGCTGTCTTAAGGTTGTTGTTGTTGTTATGTGCTGTCGAGTCGGACCTGACTCATAGCGACCCCTCCTTGGGTTTCTGAGGCAGTATCACTACGGAAGTAGATTGCCCAACCTTCTTTCTGAGGAGTGGCTGGTGGGTTTGAACCACTAGCCTCCTGGTTAGCAGTCAAGTGCCTTAGGCACTACACTACAATGGTTTGGAGGCCACAGTGAGGACCAGGGAAGACCTCTCTCACACCTCAAGGTCCTAAAACGTGTGGAGCAGGAGAGAAAGAGCTGACTCCATTCAACAGGGCTGCCAAGAGAGCCAAGCTTCAATGCAGGGAAGAAGGTGATGCTTTGAGTAGTTGCAAATAGATGCTTTGAAAATTTGCAAATATAGGGGAGTGTGTTCATGATACAAAATTTAATTGGCCACAGATAAAACATGATGAATCTTGAAATTATTGGGCATCATCAGTAAAATCCTGACACCAAAATTGTGGAACAGCAAACATTTCTCCCGTCTCACACAGGACAGAAAGGAAGCTCAGAAAGGTCCAGTGACTTGCCCAGGGTCACACAGCCATTGATGACAGTATTAGGACTCAAGCCCTGGTCCTTCTGACTAGAGAGCCCAAGTTCTTAAAAATCACACACAACACACACACACAAACATACACACTAAAAATATTTGATTTTTTGTTGTTTGAAGGGACACAGCAAAAACACAGCAATTCAACAATTTGTATGTGTAAAATTCTATGACGTTGATTTCATTCAAGTTGTGCAACCATTCTCACCCTCCTTTTCTGAATAGGTCTTCCTTCATTAACATCAACTCACTACCCTCCAAGTTTCTTATCTAATCTTTCAAGTGGTTACTGTCCATTGGATCCCATGCATTTCTGTAAAAGACCACAGTGTTCATAGCAGCCACTCTTTACTGATTAAGCTAAACTACGGAGAAAACCGCCTATATTTATTGTTCCAATATAATGAAAGGCCTATGGGGCACAATTCCCCCCCCCCATCTCTACAGGAACTCTTAACCTGCATCCCAAACACCAAGAAAAAAATCAATCAGGTGAGACACCTACCTATGTAGTTCATGATGAATCCTTGGCCCTTCCCAAAGATGAGGCCAGCTGGGTCCGAGTGGAATTGGATGGTTAGGTCTGGCGTGGAGGAGTACAGCTTCTGTGGGCCACTGTTCCCAAGGTATTGCCCCAGGATGTGAGGCATGATCTCATCACCATCGTAGATGGTCAGGATGTCGCTGTTACTGAGGTTCAGGCTTGGAGGACAGAGAGAAGTCTTAGGAAGCCAGAGGGTTAAGCAAAGGCATTCACTCAGCCTTTCATTAATTTTTTTTTTTCAGGCAACAAACATTTCTGAAGCCATCCAACATGTCACGCCCCAAGCCCTATGCAACTGGAGGTTGGCATAGATGATGAATGTAACCAAGGTGTGCTCACCCTTCCTGCCAGCACAACATATGTGGATTTGTGGCTGGAATGGGCTTGGAAGGCACATTTGTGGAATGGTCTTCCCTGTACAGGACACTCCGTGTACACCCAAATCTTGCATAATAGAAGCATCCCCTTCAATGCGCCCATCACTCCCTTCCTCAGTGACCGTCTTGTAAAATTTTATCTATTTTGTTATTGTCATGAGAATACACACAGCAAACATAGAGTAATCCCACAGTGACAGTGATTACGTTCTTCGAGTTGTGCACCCCTTCTCACCCTCCTGTTCTGAGTTGCTGCTCCCTCACTAACATGAACTCACTGCCCCCTAAGGTTCCTGTCTCATCTTCCCAGTTGCTGTTGTCAGTTTGATCCCATGTAGACAGTTCTTAAAAGAGCACAGTGCTCAAGGCAGAGCTTCTTTACTAGTTAAGCTAAAATACTGGTTGGTTTAAAGACAACTTCAGGGAATATTTTTGTTTTAAGGTTTAAAAATTACCTCAGGGCAATGGCTTCAGGGGTTCCTGACTCTGGAGTCTCCACGACTCCAGAAAACCTGGAGTCATGACAATTTGAAATTCTTTTCTGCATTTTCCCCCTTTTGATCACAATTCTGCTATAGAATCTTAGACCAAAGTGTTCAGTAATGGCAGATGGCATCATCTAGTTCTGGTCTCATTGCAAAGGAGGCAGTTGTCCATGGAGGCAATGAGCCACACATTCCAACATCAACAACCATTTAATGAATGATGGTTACATGTCAGCACTGGGCTATGTGCTGGAGATATGGCACGGCTCTTGCTTCTTTGATGCAGAACTTGCTGGTTGATTGGTAAGTATAATGTCCATGTTAATCTAAGATGAAAGGACAGAATGCTCCTTAGTAGTGAGGACAGTGAGACTTTGTCTCACCTACTTGAGGAGCTCTGGTGGCGCAGTGCCTAAGGCACTTGACTGCTAACCAGAAGGCTGGCGGTTCAAACCCACCAGCCACTCCTTGGAAGGAAGGTTGGGCAATCTACTTCTGTAGTGATACCGCCTCGGAAACCCAAGGAGGGGTTGCTATGAGTCGAGTCCGACTCGATGGCACGTAACAACAACAACAACAACTTTGGACACCAGGAGGGACATCATGCTTCATAAAGTAGAGGGTCATTGAAAAAGAGGAAGACCGTATTTGAGATGGACTAACACAGTGGCTACAACAACGGGATCAAACATACCAAAGATTGTAAGGACGGCACAGGACTGGACAGTGCTTTATTCTGTTGTATGTGGGGTCACTATGAGTCTGAGCTGACTCGACGGTGCCTAACAACAGCATTCATCATGGAACAAATCCTTCAGAATCAACTGGGTTATCCATCCATTATGTTTAGGGGGTGGGGTGGGAGTGAATGTAAGAGAGGAGCCTTACTCATCAAATATGCTTGGACCTGCTGTCATTATTCATACTATAAAGGATGACACATTTTCACGACTCAAAATGGAAGAAAATACCTTGACATTAAATATTTGGACTCTAGTAGGCAGTTAATAATTCAGAAAACACTTCAGGCGGCGACAGCAACTTGTGCCTTGTTAGGCTTGCTGAGTAAAATGCATGTCTGTTGAGAGAATGCCAGGTTGGGCTGCAGTGTCCGTGCACAGATATTGAGCTGTTTTTCCCTCTTTCCTCCTCCCTTTCCTCTTTCTTCTCTTTCTCTCTCACGTCTGTCCACTCTCCTTGTCTCCCTCTTCCTAGTATTTTCTTGAGCAGCTACTCTGTACGAGGCACTATGTTCAGAAGGCAAATATGATACAAGAACTCACATGCCAGTGGTCCATTTAAAAGTCCCACTGATCCCACCACCAGAAGGGATGTGACTGACAGTGTCTGTTCCAACCCTGCTGTGGTAGTTAAGGTTATGTGTCAACTTGGCTGGGCCTGGTTTTGAGTGGCTGGGCAGCTGGATGGAGTGATTCCCCAGGGTGGAATCGACTGGAGCAGCTGAGTAGCTGCCTTAGGGATGTGGTCTGCTTCTATATATAGAGAGAAGCGTTGAGAAAGGTCTCTAGCTCTTTGGCACACTTGGATCCTGCATTTGGCCAAGTTGTCGTTCAGCAGCCTGGCCACGTTGTCTGCTGATCTTGGGACTGTTAATGGATTTCAATAAATGGCCTGATGTGTGGTTTGGCAATATAGGAACTATGCCTTTTTTTTTTTTTTTTTTTAATTGTGATCTGGGTGAAAATTTACAGTGCCAATTCACTTCCCATACAGCAGTTCACATACACTATCTCATGACATTGACTACAATTTCCCACAATGCAACAGCTCCCTCCCACTTCCTCCCCATAGTTACCTCTTCTCTATGTCCTTCCTTTCATGCACTCCTGCCCCCTGAGCTGTCTCCCTGTGCATACACAGCCCTTCTTTTCTCCCACGATTGTTCTCTCCAAGGAGTGTATCTACTTCAGGTAAATGTTCAACTCCTATGCCTGTCTTTTGTTTGCCTGGAAGCCATATGTGTGGGTTCAATTCCAGACCTGAAGGGCAGCTAGGGCCCGTAGTCTCAGGGGTCCATCAGGCTCTATCAGACCAGCAAACCTGGTCACTGCCCCCACCTTTTCTAAAATTGATTTTGAGTTTTGTCCTGCATTGTTCTCCCACTCTGTCCAGGATCTCCTACATAGATCCCCCTCCGAGTGGTTGACAGTGGTAGCCGGGCACCATCTAGTTCTTCTGGTGTCACAGTTGTATAGGCTAAGGATCACATGGTGTACCAGTTGCTTGGACTGTTTCCATGAATCTTTGTTTTCCTTCGTTCTTCTTTGTTCTGGATGAGAAGAGACCCATCATTGCATCTAGATGTCCGCTTGCAAGCTTTTAAGATCCTAGTCGCTACTCGCCAAAGTAGGATGTGAACAATGTTTTTGTGCAGTATGTTATACCAGTTGAGCTTGATGTCCCCTGCGACTATGTTCCCAAGCTCATAGGTCCAACTACTCGCTCCTGACTTGAGGGGTTTCAAGCAGGGCAATGGAGCCTGTGCTCCACCTGATGGAGGAGAGATGTTCCAGGAAACGGCCTCGAGTGAAGTTCCTGACACTGACGTTTGCTGAGAACAGCCGTCCCTGGTGATGGCTCCGGCCCATGTGCTTGAGCAGAGTGACAACAGGTACCTTCCCCCACCCACTCTCCAAAGGCCACGTTTGCTGCAGGTGTTGGGGAATGGGAGCTGTCCGTGTTGGTGCTCTGTGTGGTAAGAATCAAAACAAAACAGGACAGACACTGTGGAGGGTTTGCTTTTGGAGGGCAGGGAGTTTATTGATCACAATATCTTCCTCACACAATCCCTCATGTTGAACTATCTCAAATGAGTGGCTCAGGGTTTTTTTTATTGCCCCTAAAGGAAGATGGGCAATCTACTTCTGTAAATATTTACTGCCTTGGAAACCCAATGGGGGTTGCTATAAGTTGGAATTGACTTGATGGCAGTGGAGTTTGGTTTGATAATCTCCATAAGGAGCCCTGGTAGAGCAATGGTTAAGCATTCATCTGCTGAGATAGTTACGGTTGCGTGTCAGCTTGGCTGGATCATGATTCTAAAAGGTTTAAGCAGGTGTGATGTAGACATTTCCATGATGAGATCTGATGTAATGTCATCACCTCCATGATGAGATGCGCTATGAGCAGCCAATCAGCTAAATGAGAGTTTCCTCAGGAGTGTGACCTGCTTCTGATATATATGTGGATGTCCTGGGAAAGATCTCTGATTGTCTGCTGGATCCGGATCCTGCATCCAGCTCATTATCAGGTGTGGTTCTTGGAGCTGAACCAGTGGCCTGTCAGATTGCCTGCTGATCTTGAGATTGTTGGCTTTGCAGCCAGTAATGTGCCATTTGATCTGCTGATCTTGGATTTGTCATTGCCAAAGCCAGCAGCTTGCTATATTGCCTGCTGGTCTTGGATTCATCAGCCCCTGCAGCTGAGTGAATTGGGAGAAGTCTCCAGCTTGATGTTTGACCCAGGAACTTAGGACTTGACAGCCTCTACAACTGTGTGAGTCAATTCCCTGAGATAAATCTCTCTCTATAAGCTTCACTGGTTTTGCTTTTTTAGAAAACCTAGCCTAAGACAGGGAGCTCTGGTAGCATGGTGGCTAAGACACTTGCCTGCTAACCAGACGGCTGGTGGTTCAAACCCACCAGCCACTCCTCGGAAGGAAGGTTGGGCAATCCTACTTCCATAGTGATACTGCCTTGGAAACCCAAGGAGTGGTCGCTATGAGTCGGGTTTGACTCGATGGCACATAACAACAATAACAACAGCCTAAGACAAGGAGCTCTGGTAGCATAGTGGCTAAAGCACTTGACTGCTAACTAGAAGGCTGGAGGTACGGCACATAACAACAACAACAACAACAGCCTAAGACAGCTGGTAGCCTAAAAGTCAGTGGTTTGAACCCATCCAGTGGCTCCTCCATGGGAGAAAAGACATGGAAATCAGCTCCTGGAAAGATTACAGCCAAGAAAACCCTATGGGCAGTTCTATTATGACACATAGTAGACCTATTGTTGCTATGAGTTAAAGTTGACTTGACGGCACTTGATGACAACAATAATGTCCATGCTCACTGAGTGGTGCAAATGGTTAATAGGCTCAGCTTCTGACTGCAAGGTTGGAGGTTTATGTCCACTCAGAGGGGCCTCAGAAGAAAGGCCTGGTGATTCACTTCCAAATAATCACTCATTTAGAACCACACAGAGCACAGCTGTACTCTAACACACAGGGCTGCCATTAGTCAGAACCAATCCACAGCAAGTGGTTTTGATAATCTCC